TGTTCCTAGGTCGCCCAGCTATTTAATAGCATTGCACACCTTGTTAAAAATTGCATATAATTGTGATAGCCACTTAAAGGAGAAAGTTTTTTTCCACAGAATGTAAATGCAGGGAAATTGACTCTTTTTTTTTTTTTTTTGCATTTACCTTTGAACACTAGTATTCAGCAAGTAAATTACTACCTAGAATATTCCCTGAAGTAATTTCAGGAAAAATCTGAACCAGATTCCCAGATTTGACCATTGGTGAACTGGGGATTTAAAACATTTGAGTGTGAATATTGCGGTTTAAACCTATGATGGCCTGTATTTGTGATCGGCATTTGCCAACATGTTTTATCCTGGTGAAGATAACAGGATTATTTGTATGAATAAGGCTTATGTCTGACCCCTGTCTTCCTGCCTTTTTATAGACAGTGTCTTGCACAGAGTGCTCACTTGATCTAAATTTTTTTTAACCCTGTGGATGGTTCATACTGAATCTTCCACTGTCAACCTGAAACCAGAAGTAATTTAAATTAAACCAGGTTCACCCACAGCTTCCAAGGAAACTCAAATTAGATCAAAACTACAAATGAATAAAATATCTTGCTAACGTTTGTAATACTGACTATGAAGATGGGTGTATATTTGAGAGTTAAACTTATTCATAGAAAATAACATTTGTACTAGACTGGTTTGAAAATGTGCCATTTTTCCTTTGGCAAGAAACAGAACTTATACTGAAAAAAAAATCTAGCCAGAATTGGTGCTAAGGCACCTCATAGACATTGTAGTTTAAGTATATTATGTCCCCATTCTCCTCAGTGGCGTAACTGAGCTCCTTGGCTGATCTCTCCCAGTCTTGCCTCTTTCTGAGTATAGACCCTATTAGGGTTGCCAGCCGTCCAGGATTGCCCAGGAGTCTCTAAGAATTAGATAATAAATGTCCAGGAGCTTGCTGAGAGTCACCTGGGGGATAAATGATAGGGTGTTCATTAAAATAAATATTAAATGTTGAATCCAATTTATACAGGAGTCCAGTGGGTTTTAAAAATGTATTAGTAATGTGCACTTGCCTTTCTGATATAAAGTCTACACACTGTAATCCATAACTGATATACACAAGCATGCGGACACATTCACGTCATCTGTCACCAGCATCTTGGCATTCCAGAAACCTCCTGGAACAGATTCAAGCAGAGCTGGCACCCCTAGACCCTATATGAAATAGGATGTATGTGTCAGCTGCAGAACCTTTCTCCTTAGAGAAGACTAGAAGCATAGGTCCATCTGTGATGAATGCGAATGGTACCTGGGGTGTATGTTGTTCATAGTGCAGCCAGCACAGATCCAGGATTTGGCAAAGGGGGCATGGATGCAGTACCCCATACTGCAGTGATGGCTGCACCTCTTCCCAGCCTCCTCTCTGCCCCCAAACCAGTGCAGGCAGTCTGTGCCCTAGGAGCTTATGGGGACTTTTTTAAAGACCAAAACCCAGGTAAGAATTCCTTTACTTTCCCCTCAGAGCTTAGAAGTGTCCTTTTCCCTCCCCTCCTTCCCCTGCTCACCACTTCTGCTTCCCCAGGTTTGCCAGGGGAAGCATGCAAACCTAGGTGCCAGGCAGCCCACCTGCAGTGGGCAGGAGCAGCCCTGAAGTTTTCCCCTCCCCTGGGAGAGTGAGAAAAGCAGCAAGGCCAGGCAAGAAACAGGGGCAGGGAGACAGGGAGAAGGGACATGCCTCGGAGCACTGAGGGGAAGGGAGGGGTGATTCTCACCTGCTTTGGGGATTTTTAATAAGTCCCAGAGGCTCCAGTGGCACAGTCTAATCTGAAAGCAGGGTGCAGCCATTCCACTGTATTTCCCTCTGGATCTGCCCTGCAAGAGAAGCCTGTTCTTAGATGGCCTGGATTTGCAAATGGGGAAACTGGTCTGAATAAGAATAAGAAACCTCCCGAGCTGGAAACCAGGTTGAATAACAAGAAGAAGCCTCCCGAGCTGGGCTCTGTTGCTTTCTGGGTCTCAAAAGAATTTCTAAAGGAAAGTAGGTTGGCTCTTTTCTTTTCCTGCAACTCCAGAGGGAACCTGATCTGCCTTAGCTTGTAGAGAGTCACTAAATAAAAGAGCCCAAATATACTCATGGGCTAGCTTTTTGTTTTCGAACAAGTGTCTGTAATATGTTTCCTTTTTAAAATAAACATACTTGTTTTATGAAGTCTTCTTATCATCATATAATTAGTCACAGGAACCCCAAGAGAGGTAATGCATGGGTTTGGTCAGACATGTAGTTACAAGTAAGTGGGAGAATCGGGGTGTTGTACCAGGTCCCTATCTAAGAGTGAAAGACTTATGAAATTCCACTGCCCAGACAAGCAAGGACAGGCAACTTCTGGGGTCTTCACTCAGAATGGAAAGAGGGGCCACGGAGGTAAAAGCACCCATGTAATGATGACACATCCAAACCACAAATCTGAGGCACTAGAGCAGCATTTCCAATTCACTATTTTAAAAATGTCATTTTTTTTTTTATTTGCTTCTTTTGGTTTTCATTCAGAATTCAATGTTTCAGGCAGTCGGGTTTTTTTTTTTAAAACAAATAGTAAAAAATTTCCATGAAAATAAAAAATTTCCAAAAAACCAAGCAACCTTGGTTCTCCCATCCCTTTCTCTCCCCTCCCCAGAAAATTCAGTTATGTCTCAGTAGTTGGTTTGTTTCGGTTGCATTTTATTTCTGTATTCTGTACTCTGTCCTTAGCCTCTCAAGTTTTCCTTATCATTTTGTTATAGATTGAAGGAATTTCTCAGGTCCCCTCCACTCTGTAGTTAGTGTCTCAGCTTTGAAGTTTGTCTGTGAATTAGTGCGTACACATCCTCAGCTCTCTGTAATGATTACCTACAATGGACCTGTTCTGACCTGATGGTATACCATCAGGTATATTAGCTAGGGGAAGTTTACTTCAAGGTTAATGTTTACTTAAAGTGCTGCCTGTACACTATACATGTAATTTTTGTTCGTTTTGTTTCTGTCACTCGTATCCTACTGATGGGATTGCTGTTCCAGAGGGCGTTTTCCTCTCCCAGACACCAGAGCAGATGCAGTAAAGATACATTTTCCTAACAATGTCTTTACAGCCTATTCTTAACCTCCCACTCTCTCACTTGCTGTCACTGATACCATCTGGCATATAAATGGATGTTCTCCCACACTCAGTCCCTCTCTGTCTTTCCCCCTCTCTCTGCCACACTTTCAGGCAATCCCATTGCTGTAAGCATGACTTTAAGCACCATCCTTTTTATTTCGATAAGGCTTTTCTGATTTTTTAAATACTATTTCAAGTGAATTGCGGTCCTTGCAAAAGGTGCTGGATTGGCAGCCTTCTAACTGAAGACCCAGTTTTAACCTCAGATTAAAAACAAGCAGAACAGTTGTCATGACTGTTTATACAATGCCCTCCAACTAATGCACCTTGATTCTTACCTGACAAGGAATTACCATTTGTACTGAGAAGAGTAGCTCAGTCTCCATAGACATTCATTCCTTGACCTAGCAAATGAGACTGTCAACTAGTGTCCTTGGTGTTGATTTTTGCGCTGTATACCAACTGACCTGAGATGACAAACTAATTTCATATAGGCCATCGCACAAATAGTAGCAGCTCTCAAGGAATTTATGCTGTCTCTCTGCTACAGCTTTCTAGTGATGCCTGTCATTGCGGCATCTGAGCACACAAAAGGAAATTACATGCTCTCAGTAACTACTGAGCTGGATCTGTTCCATATTGAACACATAAGAGAGTATGGATGGTTATTCTTATTTTCAAGGTTTGTGTAAAGTAGACAGGTCTAATATTAGGGACAAAGTTGAAAGCAAAAGCAGCCATTGCTTTTTTTTTTTCCCAGAGAAAAAAGAGAGCAGTTTATATTCCATATGGATTGACTCCACTTTTATCCCTTTTTATATGCTTCTTGCAGAATTTTTTTAAAATGTTTCTTCTATTCTGCCCATATTGAGATTTTGATTTTTCCTTGCTATAGATCCAGAAACATTAGTGGGGTTTTATTCCTCCTTTGAAGATGCCTGAAGTGCCATTTGCTATTGATCTTATACATGGAAATGGAAGATAAAGGTGCTATTGCCACAAACCTGCTTGAAAGTTCAAGTTGGAGGCATTTGTATGAAAAGTAGATTTTGTCACCAGTAGGACAGAGGTGACCTATGCATATTTACAGGAAACAAGTTGTTATATTACAGAATAAAACTTCAGGTTTTTTTTCACAGTTACTAGAGATAATTACAGATATTATGATCATTGTTAAAAAGATGGCAGATCCAATATTTTTAGACTGTTTCCAGAACCACATCCGTAAAATGTTGGTAAAGTAAGCTGAAGATAATATTTGTTTACATTTGGGTAAATTTCAATACCGTTTCAAAATATGTGCTGCCTTTTTTCCAGCTAAAATTATTTGTGAATGAATTCACAAACAGTCCCTTTTGGCCCTTTGGGCCACATTTTTGCAATATTCCTCTCTGCCCTGACAGAAAAAAATTCCATCTTTATATTATACAAAAGGGGTGAAATCGAAAATTCAAGTAAGTTTGAACCACCTTTTCTGCAAACCACACTGTCATGCAAAACCTCGTATGCTGCATAGGTCAATGGTCCACACAAGCAAGGAGAAGGGTATTGTAACATCCTGCAACTTGTGTAAGATACAACATCTTTTGTTCCACAACGAAACCATCAATTGGTTCCTGGCAGTGCTATGATCTTACACACAGATATAGCATTTTACAATTTGTCATAAAACTTATCAGTTCCTGATATGGAAAATGGAAGACATTTGCTAAGAATGATTACATAGAAAGGAGGAGAGGGTAGGGGAACCCAAAATGAAACAAAATCTCTTTTTCTGATGTGGAAATGGATCCTGCTTCTAACTGACTGAAATTGGATGAATTATGTTTCTGATACCAAATGCCTTTTCAAAGTACCTCATTCCTGTACTTTCTGTGTTAGACAGGGCTACGAAGAACTGGAAAGACAGCTGAAAGAAGTTTTTAAGGAAAGAAGCAACATCCTCCGTCAACTGTCAAAGACATCAAAAGAACTTGAGGGAATTAAAGTAAATCTCCAGGTTAGATTTACATTCTTGTCTCCATTACATAGTATTACTCACTTGATTTCACTGGAATTAGAATATTTGTGTTTCAAATATCTTACTTGTAACATATGAATAATTGGTAACTACTGACCCTTGCTCTTTGTTTTTTGATGCTTGTACAGATTTAAAATATTATATAATTTTAGGAAAATATGGGTAGCATTACAGATAAGTAAAGTATAAACCATATGAATTCACAATATGTATGTTTACTTCTGTATCACACACTTGTAATCTGAAGAGGTTATGGAGAAATCATTAGGGAACAAAACATACTGGGGTAGGAGAGAGGAAAAGAATTAATTGACTTACTAGAATACCCTCTTATTCATGTAGGCAAACTGTTACTCAGTGATGTAGTTGTGACCATGTTCCCAAACTGTGTCTTCACTGCGGAAACAACTTACATTATCTACGCTCAAGTTAATATCTCTGAGGTTGAGTAAGCAAGAGTGGATATACTACATTACTTGAAAGTCATTTGTTTAAATGGATAGAATAATTGTTTTAAGACTTGCTACATTATTCAGCTTTAACTTTTAGCTGGTCAAGTAAGCTAAAAACATGACCACACTTGAAGGAAAGCTTTTTGTGAGTGGAAAGAACTTAACTTAAGGACAATACTTGAGTTAACTTTGCCATAAGGACAACTGCTCAGTAAGGATTTACAGTCTTGTCCCAGATTTATATACAACTGCTGTCACCTGTTACCAAAAGGGAGCAACAGTTCTGGCCTCAGGAAAACAGGGTTGATAAAGCAATTTTGAGAAACTTATTCTGGTGCATATCTACAAGGGGCCAGCAGGGGAGATTATGCTTAGGGGCAACCAACACGGGTTCGTTAGCAGCAGATCCTGTCAGACCAACCTGATGGCCTTCTATGACCAGATCACCAAATCCTTAGATGCAGGGGTAGCAGTGGACATAGTCGTCCTGGACTTTTGGAAGGCCTTCGACACTGTCTCTCACCCTGTTCTCTTTAAGAAACTGGGGGACTGTGGTGTCGACACCCACACAGTCAATTGGGTCGCCAACTGGCTGGAGGGCCGCAGCCAGAGAGTGGTAGTGGATGGGTCATTCTTGACCGGGAGGGATGTGGGCAGTGGGATTCCGCAGGGCTCGGTCCTCAGGCCCGCACTGTTCAA